CGGTACTACTGTACACGAGTTACATGTACAGTATTATTAATATACGGGAAATAAACCCGCCACAAGAGGAAGACTTGTATATTTTCATACCGTATAGCGTTTATAGTTTTAGACACCCACGGGGCAATTATCCGGACTCTGAATTTTCGGATAATTGGAAATCGTTGGGGGCTGCCCAAGTTCAAATATTAGGAGTGGATCATTATAAAACGTTAAGGGGTATCAGACAACAAAGGGAAACATTATAAAATAGCTCGTACAAATGGTAAGATAATACATTATCTACAACGAAACAATTTCAGGTGAGCTGATGGCATCGACGGCGTCAATATCCAGTGCTGGATCAATGGTCTCTTCGACGGCAGAGTCAGCCATCAAATCAGCAATGTCACCGACGTCCAGACTATCCCCCGGCGAACCACCTCAACGACAGCTCCGTCGACGAGCTGGCACTTGCGAAACCCATTCAAAATCACGCTTTCGGGTACTTCGTTCTATGCCCCAGTAATCCACTCAACCATTGTAGATCTCGATGGACCCGCGAGCTTGAGGTTGCGGTTGGCAGCCTTGCTGTTCCGAAGCTGCCGCCGGATTTCCACAAGCTAACGATCGCGCAGGTTCGTCTTGAGAGGACGAATCCAAGCGACATCGGCAGGTTGACAGCACCAGGTAAAACGCGGTGGCACACGCTCCAGAATGACGTTTATACACTCCGCGTAGGCCACGACATCATCCGTAAAGTGCGCGCTGAAGTCGTCCCACAAGAGGATGACCTTCTTGTCAAGGACGCCTTCACGCCGAGCGAAATGGTACTCCAGGAATGTCAACGACAGGCCCGAGTTCCACCAAGCCGTGGGATTTCCGAAGTTGCGGCAGTCATGGCGCTCCTGCAGTGGCTCAACGGTAGCCCACACTTGACGTCAGAAGCCTTGTCGCGTGGTAAGATTCTCCTGGACAACCTCCTTGATTTTGGACTTCTTTGACTTCATCACGAGAAAGAGGGGGTGCTTCTTCCCGGTCGTGTCCGCCAGCAACATTGCAGTCGCACGCTCCTTTGTCCTCCTACCGCACTTGATCCACACGGTGCTGTCCTTCGTCGGGTTGAGGGTCTTCGATGGTAGGTACTCGTAGTTGACGGCAGTCTGATCGGCGTTGTAGATCACATCGACGTCGTTGGCCATAGCGCACATGAGCACGCGCTCAGAGAAGTCAGCAAGGGTAGCTGTACTGTCCTGGCTGGAATCTTGGCCGGTCCTCGTCTTTGCCGCGAAGAGACAGACCATGGCGGCTCTCTCGCCAAGCCAATCAGATTCGCCGAATTGTGGTCAGGATGTATTGTCAGATATGCCGAATTCAAAATATTTACCGTGAAGCGTATATAGTTTTAGACAGCCTTTTAGTTTTAGTCACCCCAAAAGGTTATTGAATATAGAGTATAAAGGTGTTCCCCAGTACCTCCCCACAGAATGCCTCTTATAATACATATTACCTCTACAGCCTAATAAAGTATTATTTTTCGGAGTTTATTTTGCCGCCAAAGCATTGTGCGGCGCTTTTTGACACGTCAATCGACAACCATGGTTGACGTCCACGAGGAGGCGCAAATGCGTCGCAAAGGACGCCCACCTTTCAAATACGGCAAGAAAGCTCATGTGCGGCTCTTCAAGAACAAGACATTCGACTATCACCACCGTATGAACGCCATTCAGCGCGTCGCCGAGGTTGGGATGTCTGCCTTCCTGGACGGCTACTGTGTCAATGCAACTCCAACTCAACGCGACTAGAAAGAAAGTGTATGGATGGATTAAACAGAAGGATCGCATCCAGGAGATGGCCATAGAAACACGGACGTCGCGTCTCAAATGCGCTCGATCTCGCGGAACTGGAACGACACTGCCACCCACCGAAGAGGAGCAGCTGGTCCGCAGGGTGCTCAGTATGCGGAAGGACGACATCCCTGTTACCTACCACATGCTTCGTGTCATGGCGCTGGAGACGGCGATCGACTTGGGACTCACCGAAGACGAGTTCAAGGCTGGTTGGCACCGGGTTCGTGGCTTCAAGCGCCGCCATGGTCTGTCTCTTCGCGCAAAGACGAGGACCGGCCAAGATTCCAGCCAGGACAGTACAGATACCCTTGCTGACTTCTCTGAGCGCGTGCTCATGTGCGCCATGGCCAACGACGTCGATGTGATCTACAACGCCGATCAGACTGCCGTCAACTACAAGTACCTACCATCGAAGACCCTCAACCCGACGAAGGACAACACCGTGTGGATCAAGTGCGGTAGGAGGACAAAGGAGCGTGCGACTGCAATGTTGCTGGCGGACACGACCGGGAAGAAGCACCCCCTCTTTCTCGTGATGAAGTCAAAGAAGTCCAAAATCAAGGAGGTTGTCCAGGAGAATCTTACCACGTGACAAGGCTTCTGACGTCAAGTGTGGGCTACCGTTGAGCCACTGCAGGAGCGCCATGACTGCCGCAACTTCGGAAATCCCACGGCTTGGTGGAACTCGGGCCTGTCGTTGACATTCCTGGAGTACCATTTCGCTCGGCGTGAAGGCGTCCTTGACAAGAAGGTCATCCTCTTGTGGGACGACTTCAGCGCGCACTTTACGGATGATGTCGTGGCCTACGCGGAGTGTATAAACGTCATTCTGGAGCGTGTGCCACCGCGTTTTACCTGGTGCTGTCAACCTGCCGATGTCGCTTGGATTCGTCCTCTCAAGACGAACCTGCGCGATCGTTGGCTTGTGGAAATCCGGCGGCAGCTTCGGAACAGCAAGGCTGCCAACCGCAACCTCAAGCTCGCGGGTCCATCGAGATCTACAATGGTTGAGTGGATTACTGGGGCATAGAACGAAGTACCCGAAAGCGTGATTTTGAATGGGTTTCGCAAGTGCCAGCTCGTCGACGGAGCTGTCGTTGAGGTGGTTCGCCGGGGGATAGTCTGGACGTCGGTGACATTGCTGATTTGATGGCTGACTCTGCCGTCGAAGAGACCATTGATCCAGCACTGGATATTGACGCCGTCGATGCCATCAGCTCACCTGAAATTGTTTCGTTGTAGATAATGTATTATCTTACCATTTGTACGAGCTATTTTATAATGTTTCCCTTTGTTGTCTGATACCCCTTAACGTTTTATAATGATCCACTCCTAATATTTGAACTTGGGCAGCCCCCAACGATTTCCAATTATCCGAAAATTCAGAGTCCGGATAATTGCCCCGTGGGTGTCTAAAACTATAAACGCTATACGGTATGAAAATATACAAGTCTTCCTCTTGTGGCGGGTTTATTTCCCGTATATTAATAATACTGTACATGTAACTCGTGTACAGTAGTACC